TCGGTATTCCTGTTTAATTAAACGAGAGAATATCATGAATGAGCTAGTTAATATCAGTAGGAGGTGTATCTCCTCTTTAATAATGCATAAAGAATCGTTTATTCATTTTTAGAATCTAAATTCGAGTCTGATGTGTTACTGACAAGTTTTTTGTTGATAAAAGAATTTATTAATTGTTTTTAATGAGAGAATGAATTGATATTAAAAATTGAAACTAATGGGTAAAATAAAAAGAAAAAGCGTAGAGAAATTTGAGAATCCCCTACACCACTTACTGAAACTCTAATTTTCATTCAATGAATAATTATTCACTGGGTAAAAAGTAATAAAAGTCAATTGCTTCAAATTCATTCACGAACAATTTCCGCATTTATCAATTCAATTTGTTAATCTAATGTATTCAATTCGGAGTATAATGTAGAAAATACTTTACCTCAAAAATCCATTGAATAGGACCTTCAGTTTTCAGCATATTGACGTACTGGAACATGAGGGAAATGATATCGTCGATATGACCGATGCCCTCTTCTGTTAAATCAACAATGACAGCGAAAAAATTCAATTCACCTCTGGCAGCATTTTGTTTTCCAGCAGCTAAAGAATTCGCCCAGCCCTTTCTCTTCAGGGCTGATAGAAGCGAACCATCACCTTGGTGACCAAAGAGATGAGAGACGTAGTATGCAGGCTAAACACAAACCAATATTTATTATAAATACGAGAATAAAAATCGAATAATATCGTTAATCGTTCTAAACTGGAATAAGTGAATTTTTTCGAGACCAGTTTTTACCCGATTTTCGAAAATAGAAAGAAGATAATGATATTTTCAGAAATATCTTTTTTGTAGCTCCCATCGTTTTCTATAAAAAATATTTTTACGAAAGGCTCGCTATGTTCCTTCGCTACCGAGATATTCGCTAAAAACTGGCTTTGAAAAAATACACTTATCCTAGTTTAACACTTCGCTATTAAATTAAGCATTTCAATAATTTAAGTCATTAATCATTTGGAGGAATGTTTTCGAGGGAATTTTTGGACTTACAGCAGATTTATAGTGCTCTCGTAACTCAGGAAGTGGGAAAATCATTTTCAATGTTCTCTCGTCCTGGATTGGAACTATGAACCATTTGTGCCCATAATGATTCTCGTTGAATGGACTATCTCGCCACTCCGGGGCATCGACTCCTTTATTCGGCACTTCAACGAACATCTTCACTACCATCTTCTCTAGATCGTTTAAACTCTCTATTGAAAAATCATTGAGATTAATGATTTCGATTAATCGATTGATTCAACGAAAAGGAAAACATATTTCTAAAACAAATATTCCAAAAAAGTTTTCTATAATCTTGGAGATATTTCCGAAAAATCGATTGATGATTTGAGTTAACTTACTTTATTTTTCAGTAATCATATTTTACAATCATTGCACCCAAATTGACGTTTCAAAATTTTTTTTTTTTTGCAAACTAACGATGAAATTGGGAAAAAATATAACGCTTCTGTGTTTTGCCATTATTTAATGACTCACAAAGTTTCATGGTGAGGCGAGTATTTTCCTGTATTTTTCTAAACTCACAAAACTAGAAAAACCGCATGAGAAGCCATTAAATAGTGATAAAATGAAAAAACAAAACGGGACACAGGATAAAATGGAATGCCGGTGAAATGGAATGAATCAAGCGGTTCAAGGGGTGACGAGGGGAAAAAATCGACCATAAGAATCCATTACTCAACATTTAAGTTTTTCCAGAATTTAATTATACTTGAGTGATAAAAAAATGTTTAATTCTCATATAAGGAATTTCACGATGAGAATCAAAATATGAGCGATTTAAATTAGATGGCGTATTTTTTGACAATTTTCAAAGATAAAAAAGTAAAAAAACACTGAGACAATTTTGGAATGTCTCGCACATTTTTGGGCGCAAAAAATGACTCGAAAGGAATTAAAAACCCTTTCCCGCAGGTGTTCTAATTTGCCGCCGTATCCCTTTTTGTCCGGGTGTTCTATTTGCCATGCGCTCCTCTATATTTTTTCGGGTCAATCCTATCAGAAAATTCCTCAAAAAGCTAAAAAAAACCCGTAATTTTGGCAGGAAGATGGGGCAGAAATTAAAAAAAAAACAGTTATATTTACCTTTTCCGAGAACACTAAGAGCCATGATATTAGCCGAATACCAGGTTCCATGAAACTTGAGTAATTCATCTCGAACATTGATTCCATTTTTTTTCGGATTCACATCAAGAGTTTCCCGATTACCAGTTCCAAATTTGGAATAAGGATGTTGAGGATCAGCTGAGGATTTGTCCAACTGATCAGCCCTCCATAAATCCTGAGCGATATTTTTCTCGTGCTCGGAGTGAACGGCATTAATCTCGAGATCGATCATGGACTCTGTGAACAATGGCTTGAGAAAAAATTGTGAAAATCTATCGAGAGCCCCTTCTAATTTGCCTGGAATAATATCGAAGAAATAAGTCGTATAATCCAACGATGTAGCGGCATTCGAAGCTCCTCCATGCTGAGATAAATAAGAGGAGAACTCATTTTTATCTGGATACTTCTCGGTACCGAGGAAGAGCATGTGCTCACAGAAATGAGCAAGACCTGGTAATTCTGCCGGATCGCTCATGAATCCAACATTAACATCCAAACAAGCTGCACTTTTATCGGTGGTTGAATCACTTATCAGTAGAACTTTCATATCATTATTGAGGATTAATCCTCTGTAGACTCTTTTATCATTTGGTGATTTTTTAATATTCTCAAATCTCTTCTTCACTCCATTTTCAGACGCTGTTCCAGCACTAGACTCCATTGTTGTGTGTCTGTAAATAACGGATTCGCCAGAAGGCAATAAAAAGTCAATAAAACATTACTGATTAAATATTTATATCAGCAGCGAACACTTTTGTTTTGTAATAACTTACGTGGAATCTGATGATTTTTCCACTGAATTTTTAGCGTTTTGTTGCAATGATGCCATGACAGCTCCTAAAATTTTCTTCTCACGCAAAAATAACACTAATGACTTGTCTAATCGATAAATTTCTATCCAGTCCACGAAATATAAACGGTAATTTTTTACTTACGGTAATATTAAGACCAAGTATGTCAGCAAAAACCTTGAAGTACAAAGTAAATCTGAGAGGCGATCAAGCTGGCGTCTAAGACTGAATAATATGAT